AAAAAAATGAAATGCGTTCCTAGAAAGTGCATGGGAAATATCAGGGCCTCAGCAAAAAAGCACAACACAAAAAGTAAAAAAAAAAAAAAGTGCTCGATAAGAGGGAGAGCCCTAAAAGGCCCCTACATCAGAGCATATTTAAATAATGTACAAAATAAGCCACTCCTAAGGCAGGTAATCAATATGATTGTAATAATAAATATTTCTTTGTACCATACTCCCTTTGAAGATGTATATTTTGGACATTGTTTACACACACACACACACACACACAGAAAAAACACACACACACATATATATATATATATTTCAAAAGAAGTAATGGATTTTAATTTATAATCCGACTTACTTTTTTATTTATTTAAACTTAATTTTTAGTGGATACTCGTAATGTAATAGACGCTCCGTTTATTTTAAACAGTATTAAATTTAGACTGCCGGCCTGCATATTCGAGAAATCTGTGAAGCTCTTCGTGGCCGAGTAATCAATGCACGTCGGATCAAACGGAGGTTTCTGTTGCAATGGGGTGGGGCACAGGATAGAATCTTGCCGGGGCTGGGCATTTTCTTAAATAAGTTTTCTCGAATGTGCAGGTCGGTAGACGAAATATAATCGTGTTTAAAATGAACGCAGCGCCTACTCAAATACTCTTTTGTCTTCTCTTTTTCTGTTTTTTCCTTCTTTTTTTCCTTTTTTCCTTTTCTCCTCTTTTCTTCTATTCTCCCCTATTCTTCTGTTTACCCTCTCTTTCTCTCCTAAAATCTGCTTTTCCTTAATTTCTTCTTTCTTTTTTTCCTTGTTTTTCATCTCACTTGAACTGGAGTCTATTTTCACCTGATATAATGCCACCTTTCATTTCCTCCCTCCTTTCCGTCCATTCTTCCTTCCTTCCCTCATTCTTTCCTTTCACTTTTCTCAATCTTTTTTCTACACCCGATGTCATTTAATCTTTTCTCGCATCTTTTGCGTTTTTCCTCGATCGCTGTTTGCCAGGTGGAGAGCCATGTCATCAGACCTTTCCCCCCCTTCTGCACTGTCAGTGGTCAGTTTGCATAAATCGATGCATCATTAAACATTCAATACTTGTTATCAACAGACGTCCAACATTGATTGTTGCCGATGTACTTCCGCCCGACTCACCAACCTTGAATTGTCAACAGAAACAAAATGGAGTAACGTGAACGATTTCTTTTGTTTTGTTTTGGGAATTCAGTTTGTTCGAGTTTCCTATTCTAACAAACTAAAATATTCATTATAAATGCGATGTTGACAGTTATTTGTTTCATCTTAAAAAAAAAAACTTTAGGCATTTAACAAAGTATTTAAGAGTTTCCTTATTTGTCCTTTGCCAAATGATTTCTTTATCGGCAGTTCTTATGCTTTCTTTTTTGGGAATTTTGTCTCTGGCAAATTCGTAAATTTACAAGAAAAAAATCACGATTGTAAGCTTCCTCAATGAATTTACATTATAGGAAAGAAACCCCCTTTCCAACACATTTTGAGGACTATTATATATAATTTCTATCGATTTTCCGTGGGTTGCAAAAAAAATTCAAATTGTTTTATCAGTTATCATCGATTACTAAAGTGAGCTTTTTTTCTAAAAGAAAGTCATTCTTTAATCTCTTTAGTTTAATCGCAATATTGTTCAGATGTATTCTATTCTCATTAGTTCTGCTACTTCTATTTCGACTTTTTCGTAACATGTATTTCTAACTATGCAATGCATCGACAAGTATTAAAATTATTAGTTACTGTACTCACTGAAACTTGTTAATATTTTTGACTTAAAGAAACTATTTTCTGGTCGACTTACCGTGCTTAAAAAAATATAATCATCTCTCTACAAGAGCGAATTCGACCCAAAATGTACTACAACCTAAAAGAATATGAGGTACAACCTAAAAAGAATAGGAGGTACAACCTAAAAAGAATAGGAGGTACAACCTAATAAGAATAAGGTGGTACAACGTAAAAAAAATAGGAGGTACAACCTAAAAGGAATAGGAGGTACAACCTAAAAAGAATAGGGGGTACAACCTAAAAAGAATAGGAGGTACAACCTAAAAAGAATAGGGGGTACAACCTAAAAAGAATAGGAGGTACAACCTAAAAGAATATGAAGTAAACCTAAAAAGAATAGGAGGTACAACCTCAAAAGAATAGGAGGTACAACCTAATAAGAATAGGGGGTACAACGTAAAAAGAATAGGAGGTACAACCTAAAAGGAATAGGAGGTACAACCTAAAAAGAATAGGAGGTACAACCTAAAAAGAATATGAGGTACAACGTAAAAAGAATAGGAGGTACAACCTAAAAGGAATAGGAGGTACAACCTAAAAAGAATAGGAGGTACAACCTAAAAAGAATAGGAGGTACAAACAAAAAGAATAGGAGGTACAAAAAAGAATAGGGGGTACAACGTAAAAAGAATAGGAGGTACAACCTAAAAAGAATAGGGGGTACAACCTAAAAAGAATAGGAGGTACAACCTAAAAAGAATAGGAGGTACAACCTAAAAGAATAGATCTACTGAAACTCTCTAGAAGCTTTACTTTTTTAGTGACATGGAAAAGAAGTGAATTCAGATACAAGCTATTTAAGTCACGGCTGAAACAACATCAATTACCATTAATTTTTTTTAATTATTATAAGCCTTTTACCGCCGCCTATTCCCGATGGTGTAATCACGTTTAATATCCCGGCCCTCAGAGCTAACTCTGCGCTGGTCATTACTAATACTGGTCTAAGCTGGCTGTTGGTCGCTGGTCGCTTCGATCCACACCAATTCTACCTATGTTGTGTTCTTGATCTCAGAGCAGTGGTAGGTCTAATGTCGGTGTAATCGAAGCACTGGTTCGAGCCCTGGCAGGCGTCATATTAACAGAAATACCTTCACAAATGAAAATAAAAACGAAAGAATCGTTGGGTTAATCTTCAACTGGTTTATATAGTTCTTTGTACAAGAATTAATCCTTCCTGCATCAATCTCTCTAGTGACACTGTACCTTGTCTAAAATTCGGGATTCAAATTTCTTCAAAGTAGATTTGGTAGCTGATGTCGTGGATTCCAGAGGCACTCGATGCGGGATCCGCAGCACAAGTCCCCGAACTCTCAAAGCTACCTGCATTTCGGCCCAAAACCAGCGTGTAGCCGAAGTGTTTTGAGGATTCAGGGATACTCCAATTTTCCCATGAATCCCAACAAGCGTTCCTTGTTCCCTATTACTGCTTTCTTAATCAACTTTGGAGAATTATCCACCTTCTTTGGGAGAAGAGATTGCTCCTCCTTTCAACTCCAACTTGCTTCACTTTGCATCTCATACCATCACTTCATACAGGTGGTGCTAAATTCTCCATCTCCTTCCTTCTGAGCATTCAGCCACAGCCTACTTCACACGGCAGGCATAACTGTCTTTGTGACAAATCTAATTTTTAAAGCGTGTGAACGAAAGTCATTAATTATAATTCCCTTGATTCCTCAAGGAAGAGATAAAATTATTTCTCAATTCCTAGTCGTATCTCCGTCCGGCGAAAACATAAACCAGATCACTATTGACAGGATTTGTTTTCATAACTTCCGCCCTATTGTACATATGACCCTCAAGAAAAAAGTTCGTTCTCATTTAAATTTCCAAGCGAGAGAAAAAATTATTTCCCAAATTTTTTCCGTCCGCAAAAAAATATTCCACATCTATCTCTCTCCCTCTAACAATATTTGTTTGCTTAAATTCTCAAAGAAGAGACAAATTTATTTCTCAATTTGTTTTACCCGCATGTCAGATTCTCGATACATAAAAAAAAAATTTTAGGAGAGAAGAAAGCTAGGTGGCCCCAAGGTAAATGGCACCACCTACTGTATTTCTCTCTATATCTTTCAGCTCTTATTCCATTTTAGGCTTAACCCTTTCCTGGATTTTCCCGCTCATAATTAACATTTAACCACTTCATGGCCTCAATATCACATTATATCTAAAACGTATTATATAATATTTCTGTCGCTTTTCCGTGATATGCATTTGCTGAGCAAGTAATCTTATATAGGAGCTTATTAGCTTACAAAATAAAATTTAAAAAATATATAAAAAGTTAGTCTTGCGTTTTTTTTTTTCGTTGACTGGGAAAAATCAAGGAAAAAAGGCAGAGAAAATTAAATCTTAATTTTTACTTGTATGCGAATGGGATGCTATTTCCAACACAGTTACATACCCACATACATACTATATTAAAACACAGCCAAACTTTATTTTCTACCCAATAACAGATAATATTTACAAATATTCCAAAAAGATTCCACAATACAACACACAACATTTAAATTAATGCTTTTGAGATTTGACCAATCAGAGAAAACTAAAACATTTTTCTCGAGCCTACTTTCGTGAAAAATCTTTCATAGACGCCCATAGATTTCGACGTTCAGAGCAGGGATGCGACTGTCTCCAAGCCATTCATAAACAAGAGAAGATGTGTCTACACAGTTCCCACTCCTATAGAACGTGCTGAAAGAAACTTTTGTCGGTGACTTCAAGTGAATCATCTCCAACAGTAGCAGTCAGTGAATATTCTCTGACGATCGAAGTCTTTTCTCAAACACAGTCTTCTTAACCACAGTATTCATTGTGGACCAACTACATAAAAGTATTTTCTCAAGTACAGCTTTGACTGTGGACTAAATTTCTTTTTTTCAATTGAAGCCTTTTCTGTGGCCCAACTATCCAAAGACTTTAATGCAACTAAAGACTCATTTTGACACGTGAATTTAAATACATATGATTGTTAATAGAAATGATTTATTTAACAGATATACTCATGCTTTCCTTATTTTTACAGAGGGACCTCGTTTCTCAAACGTCTCACATGTCGAACAAATCGGTTTTCGTACACAAAATTCGAGATGAAAATGCCTCGGTTATCGAACAAAATTTCGGTTCTCGATCAACATAGAAGGCGTAAAGAAGCAAGGGAAAGAGATTGCACCCGCACATCCAAGTTTAGAGCACCTAGTATTCCCAAGCGGTACCCATCTATGTACTGACATGGCTCGACTTTGCTTAACTTCAGTGATCATATGGGAACCGGTGTTTCACATGATGTGATCGTAAGCAAAAGAGATTTTTTTTTGTTTTGTTTTTTTTTGTGATGAGGAATATCTTTATTTACATGCAGACTATTGTTCTAATATTTATTGGTGTCATCACAACGTTTCGGCTGTTGTACCTTCCGGCCTTCATCAGCTGAAGGTTTCCCCGGCTCGAGAAGCACCTGATATAGGCCGGAGAATGTAACGCCTTCGGGTTTTGGTGTTCTATCATCTGTTAAAACACTTCGCAGATATTTAAACTGATGTACTGGTCTGATTTTGACAACTCCAGTTCGTAGCTAGCATCGTGGGTTTTTTCCTCTTGTTGACAGCCATACATTCTGTCTTCTTACAACTGACAGTCCTTTCTTCCCATCTTCATTGTCTAGGAGACCATGTAGTTTCTGTTTTAGTTCTTTCTGTGTCTACCATCAACAAAGTAACATCTGCTTATTTGTTAGAATTGTACTCACCAATAATAAATCCTGGTAGGATCTCTAGATCCCTTACGACAGTGTCGTTGCAATGGTTGAATAAACCCAGTGAGAAGATACATCGTTGTTTTATGTCGCTTTCTAGTTTGTGAACTTATTCAATTTATTTTCTATCCGTACGCAGGTGTTTTGCTCCTAGTACAAGTTCTGTATTGTTTTAACAGATTTCCCAAATAAATCAAATTTTCATAGCAGTTCAAGCAAATTCTTTATGAAAAACTTCTCAGAGTTAACCTGTAGAAAAAGACAATATTTATAAATATAAATGACAATAGGAAAAACTGTAATAGTTGTCGACGCGTTTCGTCCAATGTGGACTTTCTCAAGGCAAAAAATGAAATGAATTTATTTAAACAAAGTAACTAATAATAACAAAAACAAAATGTCCTTAACAACTGGAAGAATTTAGAGAACACTCTTTTAATACTGTATAACTGAAAATTACGTCAATTACTGTCACGTGTGGAGATATTCTTATTATTGCTGTGTTGACGGATTCAACCATTTTCTTTTGATTTCACGATATTGTTGTGTACGTTTGTTTGGGAGAGTAGTAATTCTGTTAAGAAAGGTGAAATAGGGAAAAAGCCTGGGAGCAGATTATAATATTATATATAATATTAATATTAATTAATTAATATTACTTAATTAATATTAATATATTAATATATACAACAGTATCGTGAAATCAACCCAAAAAGGATTGAATATCTTGTTCGAATTTTGATAAATCTTTTATTGTTCAACATGAAGACTATTTAATTTGCCCGGGACAGATAGTCACATTTTAAATGATGGCACATGTTTTGGGGACAATTAATTACATCAAATAACCTGAAGAAGGAAGGAAAAAACTATATGAAAAGAAAAAGAATGTGTATAATTAGTGAAAGAGTTTACGAATCATAGAGTTCATGCTTACGCATGCGTTCCAAGCCAGTCTACTTGGTCAAATGTCTCGTCTTTTTGAAGAGTTATTCTTCTTCAAGATGTTGGAGATCATGGCTCTCCACTTCCCCCTCTCTAAATAAGTTTTGTCCTTTTGCTACTTCTCCCAGACTCTATTCTGTCATCCACTTGCTTAAGCCCGCTAAGTATGTCACGCATTGCTTTCATCTTGTCACTCTATTTGCCCTGTGAGTATCAGATTCTTCAAGCCCCATTTATCATTACGTGTCCTAGAAATTTCAGCTGCCCCTTCCTGATGTTAAGTATGGGCTTCCTCGTTGTTTGCATCCTCTTCAAAACCTCATCGTTACTCACACGCTCGGTCCATGATATCCTTAACATCCTTCTGTAGAACTATACCTCCGTTGCTTCGAATCTCTTCTTCATCTTTGAGGAGACCGTCCAACATCCGCTGCCGTAAAGGAGGACAGATCCCTCGAAGCTGCTCAGTACTCTTTTCTTTGTTACCAATGAAATCCTCCTGTTTCGTAATACTCGGCCTAGCTTTTGGAATGCCTCTTTGGCCATCCCAATACATCTTCGGATCTCAGTGTCACACTTTCCATCCTCTGTCACAAGACTTCCCAGATGTTTAAATTTCCGCACCTGCTTGATTTTAGGGTCCCCGACCTGCAAATCGCATTTCGGGCTCATCCTTTTACTGATGACCATGCATTCTGTCTTCTTGTAGTCTATGCTTAGTCCCTTCTTCTCGCTCTCCTTCGCTACCTTCTGTAGGAGGTTTTGTAATTTCTTTTCTGTTTCCGCTATCAGTACTGTGTCATCTGTGTATCTTATTTTGCTAAGATTGTGGTCGCTAGTGATGAATGCCGGTAGGATTTCCAATTCTTTCAGAATCATCTCGCTGTATAGATTGATGTCCAGCGAGAAGACACATCCTTGCCTTAATCCTCTTCTATTTTGTAGATCTACTAAACTCATTCTCTATTCGTATACATGCTGTTTGCTGTCAGTATAGGTTCTTGATTATTCTAATATCTTTCCCAAATATATCAAGGTTGCTGAGCAGTTCCAACAGATCCTTGTAGCGTACTGTTATGGAGTGATTTCACAGTGGAGGCTTGTTTTATGTACTAAGTCGGTCCTAAAATAGGTTCGACGTACAGAACGTTAGGAACTTTATATAATAGGTATGACGCAGAGTAATCTAGTTGTGGTCGCTGATACTTTAGTATCCGACTAACGGTTGTCCGGCATCGACTGACTTACCGACCCACTGAGCGACTCCTACTTATTATAGGTGGGAGAGTCTATTAACTATAGAATAGGTGTGTTCCACTATAACACGTACCTTGGCCTTTACGTAGTCTATAAAACACAGGTGCCCGTCCTTCTGCATTTGTATCGTTCTTTCTATTAACATTCTGAGCAAGAATATGGCGTTCCTTGTTCAGGTGCTCATCTCTAAACCCTATTCTCTCAAACTTAGTCCTTTTTCAAAGTTAATTTTCGTATTTTCTTTTCTTTTTTTTTTTTTTCTTTTATTTGCTTTCTCTCCTCAGGGCGTATGTTATAATAGCTCTTCACAACTTCCTATCCTTTGTAACACTAAACAATATTTGTCTCGTTACTCAACCTATGTTCTGTCGTCAATTTACAGAAGTTTGTTAGGAAGTTTGTGTAATATATCGCTCTGTCCCTCTTGCCTTAAAAGTCTGCCCTGTGAGTATCAAATTTTCCAAGCCCTCTTTCTTCATTAGGAGCTCTAGAAATTTCCAGCTGTCTCTTTCTGATGATAAGTATAACTATCATTTTTGCTTCCATTTTTTTCAAAAACTTCGTCGTTGCTCACATGTTTGGTCCATGGTATTAAGCATGCTTCTGTAGAACAACATTTCTGCTGCTTCAAGTCTCTCCTTCACCTGTGAGATTATTCAGCATTTACTGCCATATATGAGGAGTGAGTATCATTCCGTGTTTTTTATTTATGTTTTTGATAGCTAAAACCCCAAACAGATAAGGAAAGAAAGAAATATTTAGTCAACCAGTTACGGATAGGTCGAGGAACAAAGTTTTTTGTTTTTTTTCTGTCTTTCAAAGATTCACAGCTAAAAAAAAAACTGATCAGATGGATAGCCAATGCATTAATTTGCCGGGAAAGCTTCAAATAATATTAACTCCAGCCCAGGGAAGCCATCCCTCCAACCAATAACTCTACATCGGAAGAGGGCTGTCTTTATTGCCTGGTGCCTGTGGCGTCCCCAAACGTGAAAATGCAACTATACATAAATATACACTTACATAAAAACAAATTTGACCAGTTAAGAGCACTCTTGAATTAGGAAGTCCAATCGGTGGTTAATTGGGGCAAGAAATGGCTTGTAAATTTTAACGCCTCCAAAACAAAAATACTTTCACAGAGAACGTTTTCTGCCTGCCATCAGCATGGCTGATGCTAAACTCCAGGAGAGCAAAACACTACGTCTTCTTGGCCTCACGTTTTCCACTGACATGAAGTGGAGCGACTACGTCGAATCAATAGCTGCATCTACTGCAAGGAAAGTTGGTTCACTGTGCCGTGCCAGAATAGTTTTCTCGTCAAAATCCATCTTGCACATTTATCAATCTACCATTCGTCCGTAATTTGGATACTGTTGCCATGTCTGGTCTAGTGCTCCTGCTGTACATCTTGAGATTCTTGACAAAATCCGAAGAAGGATCTGTAATGTAATCAATCCTGACTTAGCATCTCGACTTCAGTCACTTTCTTACTGACGTGACATGGCTTCCTTCTGTCTTTTCTACAAATATTTTCATAGCAACTGCTCGGATGAGCTTTTTTTCCCTGGTGCCACGACTACGTGAATTTAAGCGTGCTACTAGATTGGCATTTAAGTCCCACCATTTTACTGTTGAAATAGATCAATTAAATCGCCACTTCTACACCAACAGTTTCTTTTCTCGAACTTCCTCCCTGTGGAACTCCCTTTCGTTTTCTTGCAAATTTAAATGCAACGTAAATCGTTGTCTTCTGTCTTCTTGAACCCTGTTCATTTTTTTTGTCCTTTCCTCAATCCTTTTACTTTCACTCTCTGTAATCTTCCGGTGTACTAGTAAAATTACCACCTTGCTTGAAGTAGAATGATTAAAAAAAAAGTGAGTGAGAATTAGCGCAAAAGACATCTAAAACAGGAAATCCAACAAAGCTCGCCAGTTAGAGGGTTAACAGTTCCTCAAGGGATGTGACCTCAGAGAAACTAGGAAGAATTTGACCAACTATCTTGCTCCGTCTGTTTAAAACAACAATTTCTCCTCTTTTCCCTTGACTTTTTTCTCCCATACACAACTCTTCTGTATATAAAACAAAAGCAAGATCTGAGTGAAATCGATGGGGGGTTCTAAGTGTAGGACTGAACTCGAATACATGAATTTAGGTAGATTTAGTTAGGGAACGGTTAGTACACTATTAAATATTAAGTTTTAACTTAGTATAGTGACTAAATTAAATTAGCCTCATTAACACAGAGACATCTCCAGTATTTTATTATTTTTTTATTTTATTTTTGGTTTGTTGGTTGATTTTGTTAGTAGCATATTAACCGATGGGTTAATACCGA